TTTTTTTTTTTTTTTTTTTTTTTTTTTTTTTTTTCGACCAGAAGAGAACTTTGCTGTTTTGGTTTATTAATTCAAACAATTTGTAGCTTTTTTTACTTCAGAAACAAACTGATTAACAGATTGAAGCACTTAGGTAACAACAAAACATAACAGATCCTGCAATCGAGGTGAGGCCGTTCTATTCTGTGACTTAGTGAAGAAGTATGGTGCTGGGCCGTATGCAGCATCTGCAACAACAGTATCACCATCAACAACCAAGTAAAAGAGATAACCCTATTTAGCTACTAACTTTTGAATCCTTCATTTGGCTAAACAAAAAGAAACCGTTTTTGTTCTCTGTTTTTTCAATTGATGCTTTGTTTCTTCAGAAGGCAAGATAATGTTATAATGGGTAAAGCTCGAGTTCTACTGACTGGTTCTGGCCTTTCAAAACATGCACCCTCCGCACGTCCAACACCTCCCACAACCAAAGAATCCCAAAACAATACTTCTACGGTTTCATTCACTCAAGAAACTACGACAGCGTTACCGCACAGGTTAATTTTGTCAGGATTTTGAAAAAATGTGCTTAACCCACTTTAAAAACGAATGGTTGAAGTGAGTTGGAATATTCAGCACTGTTGCATTTGAGCTGATACGTTACTTTTTTTTTTCAGTACTACGGGGGGCACTCAGACTACGACGACCAGTCACGTTGATGTCTCTTCCTACCCGAGTTTTCCATTTCCTTTCCCTTACCCAAGCTGAAAAAACGCCGGTTTTTTTCCTGGAAATGAAGCTCCACTTTGAACGACTTCTACCTTCCGATCTCCATGTATTTATACTGCTGACCGTATCCTTTGCCAAACAATTCTATTAATGAAAACCAAGAAGGCCGAGAGAACACCTATGGACCCTAAACAGCCGTCAGCCGAATAAATCAGTAAACTAACCAGAACTTTGGTCACCGTCTTTGTCGTCGGAAAGTCCAGTTATTAAATAAAAAAAAACTAAAATTTACGGTGGTTGCAGTCTAAAGCAGTTCCGAGAGCCGCAAAAGGAAAGTATAAACTACTGTACTTTTCAGATCGTTTGAGTCCAAAAATTTTTTTAACGGGGCTACGACACCTCTGCCAACTAACAATTATTGGCACACATGCAGGACCCACCAACACCACTACACTTGTTGTGGAACTCGCGGATAGCACAACCTACGAACATTACGACAACGATAACCCCGCAAATAGTAACAACTAAAGCAAATATTTAACAACGCCGTTCCGAGCCAAATTTTCGCCCCAAGTCTACAAGAACACTGTAGGACAGTAAAGATGGAAGCACTCGCTACCACCTGAGCCGCCCTTTAGAAACTCCACACATAACTACCGCACTTACTCGCGCACAAAACAACAGATAATTAAGCCCGTCCCTGACTAAACCGCCTCAAAAAACAGTAAATCACTTCCAAATATCAGCAGCAGCACTTTTTCAGGAGTACAAACAACCGACGGCTTTATTGTCCTTGGCAACTGATTAAGGTGAAACAACTTTGTAACGTTACATCGAACAAGAGCAGAAGTAACAGCGAAATACAAAAACTAACGGTGAGCTGGAATGATTATTAAAGTGAAGCTCTATAACAGCAGGACAGAATAAAATTATGCGTGTATAAACAACAGTAACAAACAGACAGAAATGTATTGGTAAGAGACACAAACTAATCCATGAAGCATTTTTAAAAAACTTAACCTTTAAACAGTCGTAAAGCCTCATTTGCCTCCGAAACTTCAGAAAAAAAAAAAACAGATGTCACGAAGTAACTGATATTCCATAAACTTAAGAAATTTAACAAATATTTTTGACCATGACGTAGCAACAGTGTAAGAAAGAACTACATTGCAGCTACAAATAACAAGTTAAGACTGAACTATAGAAAGAAATAAAAAAGATAAAAAAGACATCCCTAATTTAAATTTATCCATTACCCCTCCTCCCGTCCACAAAAAAATTACAACATCATTTACTAAAAAAAAAACAAACTGGTTAAAAAAATTCAACCGGTTCGCTGCACCTCCTCCCCTCACTAGACGCTTCGACAATACTGCCAGGTAACGGGACCTAAATAAAATAGGTTTCACAAGGAAAAATCGTCTCAAAATGAGCAGAAAAAGCAGGTAACAGTTTAAAAGAAGAAATTAAGAATGAGAATTAAACAAGGCATACTACATAGTTTACAGGGAAAAATTACTCACGTCCCACTCACTTGATGCGTTGTCCAAAAATGAAGGAGCAGTGTTACGTTTTCGGTTCATTGTAGAGGTCTGAAGAGGATCTTGTCCGAATAAACAGAACAGAGAATAAAAACAAAAAATAGGACTCCTTATAAAAGAAATCAAGAACACTAAAAACGACGATAACTTCCAACTTCATGCGCTATCACATACTAATTAACTGATATGTTATTGATCCACCGTGAAAACTGGAACCGAAACAAAACTTACTTTACTTTTCGGAGAAAAAAAACCAAACGATGACTTCTTTTCGCCTGAAATTAGGTTTTCAACAATATCTATCTAAAAATCTTACAGAAGAAAAACAGCTCCGAATGAGACACTCTTGTAGGAAATTTCTCTCGCCCCTTTCGTTAAGAATTTAAGCCTTTTCACCGTAAAAAAATTGTTTGCATACTAATACTTATATATGTACTACTCACCAACAAGCCGCGAAGAGAGCGACAAGAAAAAGTGAGGAAATACGCAGTTATCATGAGAATTTTGAAAAGGGGTATTAATTACGACTAACCTAAAAAAAGCTTCATAAAACTTGAAACCAGCCTACAAACTAGACCTGATTTTGTGGTGAGGATGCAGAAAACTGACTAAAAACCACCTGCTTTAAAATGCTACTCAACCTGTAGCTAAGCAGTTAACTTTTAAAGACAAGCGAAAGAATTAAAACCGGTCATATACGCATAGAAATTTTGCAAACAAGTACGATAAAACTGTGCAGGACTACCAATAATGTTGTAAATTTCACTTCTTTTACACTATTAATGTCATGAAATGAAAAGAGTTACAAGCCATCAAAATGCAACAGCCACAAAAATGACCAACTGCTCTCACTAGACAGAGCTACTGATTACAGATGACCTAAAAAAATCTTTATACAAATTGAAACCAGCTCACGAATTAAACCCGATTTCTCTCTGAAACCCCGACATGCTGCCACTACAAGCAGCATGCTTGAGTTAGTCAAAACTTTTAAAACCCTCCACTTCTCGCCTTCTTCATCAGCAAGAACAGAACTGTACTAACCTCCACTATCTTTCTCATCGAAAGAGAATGGCCCCTTGCCATAATCATGCCGACTGTACCGACGCTGCTTTTCAAAATCCCTTCTAAAATCTTGATAACGTTTTCCTCGACTGAAATCTACACCTTGCGATCTATGAGAAGTCCCACGGTCATTTGTTCCCATACTTCTCCTCATCCCGCCTCTAAAACAAGAGCCACGTGCAAACCCAGCCCCAGTATTCCTCTGTCGCTTTCTGTCATCGCAGTAAGGTTCATTCATTTCTACTCTACTATCCTCTTCCACATTCCTAAAGACCAGAAAAGTGACATGTGGAAACAGCATAAAATAAAACATACTGGAGACAGCAACACTAACGCGACAGACTGAGGGTTCCGCTGACTCTCCTTGACTTGATTTCCAGTCTCAATTTTTGTTACCTTATTCGTTTCTTCACTGATATTTTGCTGCGCTACAGGCATTACCATAGGCATAAACATTGGCATCGCATACCCAAAATTATTTAACCTAAAAACCTTTCAAAAGTAAATTTTGAAAAATTAATCGTTTAACAAAGACAGCCTCTCAAAGATAACCAGTAAAAGAATGGGTAAGGAACAGCATTATATCCCATCCCAGGAATCATATTTGAAGCGACGTTACTGTACGCTGAACTGTTCGGAACCCAGCTGGTAGTGTTCCCTACAAAATTGTTCCCAAGCAAATCAATTTTTGACTCCAACATCTTTACGATCGACTCATACTCAGAGACCACTTGATTAGGAGCAGAAGAATTCTCCTGAGAAACGCCTAAAAAAATATACTTCAGAACACCTTTAGAGTGTGGAACTCACTGATATACTTTTGAACTGTTTCCCAGTTGAATTGTGAAACAACACTGCTCCTACTTCATGTTTTTTTTCACTTCATTAAACAATTAAGTACCCAAACAAACCTCCGTCTTTCGCAAAAGAAGAACTAGACATTATGGGGTCATGATTGTGCAAACGACCTGCATTGACAGCATAAATACCGTTCGGCTTCCGTCTTAAAATTTCAAATTCATATTCAGATCCCCGCTGAAGATCCTGTAATTTTCTAAATTCCTTAACCAGAATAATGCTATACGTTTATATACATATATTTATATACTCCTCAACAAAAACAACCGTGTTGTGGTGATAGAGGCTATCTAACAAGAATTAAGATGACAAACTGAAACAACAAAATTCGCCGTCCAATAAAATAAAATAAACCGGTACCATCAACTTGAGTGTACTGGAAGGCTCTAGTTGGCATCGGAGCATTGAGAGCGGCAAAGTTAAAATAGGATCACTCTGAAAAAGGAATTTTGAACGAGATTTACTAAGGAAAATAAACGTTTATGTCAAGGTTAGTTTCAAAAACATTACGTTCAAAAAACCCCTCATACCCCTCCTAAACAAGTAAAGGAGAGAAATAGAAAGAGCAAGCAAAAAATGATACAGCTAGTCTTACCTTATTTATATGGGAAACGTCGATCAAATCTTTGAGTTTCGTTGTTTTATAAAATCCGTAATCGACCAAATAAATTGAGAAACTAAATCAACGATTGCTAATCAGTAAAAAACATTTTGGCATCGTAGAAGAACATTCATTTGAAATCACCTGCATGTCTCCTCACAGAAATTGGTGATTACGGCCCTAGCAAGTATAAAAATTTCATCCATAAAAACTGAAGCCAAACAACCAGTACCAACAAGTTCATGAACACGAGATAAACCAAAACCAGGAGTTTGTTTATAACGAACTCTACCCTCATGAAGCACCTAAAACTCTAGTGAACCAAGGTATTTCAAGTGAAAAATATTCACACAGTAAGCTTTACAAAGTTCTTAAACGACATCAGAACCACATGAAGACGTTGAAGAGCGGTTCTGAATCTTACCCGTTCAACATTTGTGAACGTCACTGTATCAATGATCCAAAACGTTGTAACACGTAGACCTGGTTCTTTCCTACCAAACCGCATCCTCATCTTACAGGGATAACTTGTAGGTTCGAATTCTTTGAAAGTCTTCTGCTTTAAAAAAGGTTCCTAAAAATAAAAAAAAATATTCCTCAACAACGACCGCAACTTAGTATATCAATTAGCCAAACATATGTCGATTACCTCAAAGTCACCAGTACTGTCGTAAAACGACTTAACGTAGCCTCCTAGAATAGTTCAACGTTTGAAAAGTAAGACAGGTCAGAAAATGAAAAAACGCTGAATTAAAAAGAATAATGTACCTTATACCTTTTTTTGAGAACTGGCCTCTTCGATGGCTGGTACCGTGCGCATTTCTCTCCGAAAAATCTCCCCAATTACCACGGTAAAAGCAGCATGACTAAAAAAATACAAATAATTTGGAGCTTATTTATCACAACTCAAAAAAAGCCTCGGGTAATTGTTAAAAAATAGAGGATAGATAACGACATCCTCTCAATGGGTAGTCTTAACTTTACCGCTCACTAAAAGTTTGATCGACCTTGACTTACCCACTGATATATATACAAAAAATGCCAGAACAAAAAGATTATAGTGGTACACAGTCTCTTAATGTCGCAACCTACAGTAGCATTTGATTTCCGTCCATAATTATAATTCTTAAACAGCATTCTGGAAGAGTGCTTAAAATCTGGTTCCACTGACAAAGAACCTCGGAAATCCATGTCTAGAATTGTTTATACACTTAGTCCTCGTTCCCAATGAAGAGCAATTGTGAAATAAAGTGTTTAGAATTCTAACTACTTTGAGTCAACTGTAAATCACACATAAGTACAGATAAATGGACAAAAAATCTGAAAAAAATGAGATAAACCTTTGAAACAGTTTCGATTATAATCAGTTCTCTCCTCGTCAAAGAATGTGTTATTAGAGCAAGTGGTTTTCGATATATCCTGCTTTTGAAAAA